TGTTACTGAAAATGGCTGGACTACAAACGAGAGAGGCATGGATTGGATTCAGCACTTTGAGAAGCATACAAAGGCCCGGAGTGTTGGTGGTTATCGCTTGTTAGTCCTTGATGGTCATGAGAGCCACCACTCAGATGAGTTTGAGGAGTACTGCAAGGAACACAACATTATTACGCTTTGTATGCCTGCTCACTCTTCTCATCTACTCCAGCCACTTGATGTTGGCTGTTTCGGCCCGTTAAAGCAGGCCTATGGTCGGCAAATTGAAGATATGATGCAGGCTCATATTTCTCATATTACAAAGGATGACTTCTTTCCTGCCTTCCACACTGCATTTAACACTACAATGACGGAAAGTAACATTCGAGGCGGGTTCCGAGGGGCAGGGCTTCTTCCATTTGACCCTGAGAGAGTGATATCTACACTTGATCTTAAGTTAAGGACACCAACGCCTCCAAGCTCCCGCCCAGGTACTGCTCAACCTTGGGTTTCTCAGACACCAAACAACCCAATTGAAGCTATGTTACAGTCTACATTTATTAAAACTCAGATTTCACGCCATCAAAATAGCTCTCCAACCTCAATCTATGCAGCTGTTGACCAGTTTACAAAGGGTGCATCGCAAATAATGCATCAATTAGCACTGCTAAAGGGAGAGAACCAAAACCTACGACAGGCAAATGAAGTACTAAGCAAGCGCCGGAGAGCTAGGAAAACACGACTACAGCAAGGAGGATCACTTAGTCAACAAGGGGCGCAAGAGCTACAGGATGAGAGGGATGTTGTGCAGCAGTAATGCGCGCACGTGTCAGATTGTAATAGACACCTCTGAGGAAGAGGACTCCGAGTAGTTTCAATTGATTTCTAATGTTGTGGTAGATTTATCGCAATGTTTGTCGTGAGGGTAGATAATTTTGGCGCTTTCGCTTGTTTGGCGCTTTCGCTATACATGTACGTTATATAATAATGTTATATTCTTCTGCTATAATGATGAAATCATGGTTTGTATGGCTTATATAAGAGTCGAGTAATAGAACCTTCAGCTCCTCATGTAGAGCTGTATGGCCTATAAAATGCTGTAGCTAGAGTGCAAGCTGGCTATTTGAAAATCCCATGTCAGAGAGTAGTACTAGCTCCATGCCTTCGAGGTTGGTATAGTACTATGAATCCATATGAATTTTGCCTAGAATGACAAGTACTAGTGGTATGACTTTTCCTACTACAGACACAGCCTCTAGGATAGTAATAGATGTACGGTTTTCACAGCTTAGAGTATAGAGCTCCTTTGCTGTTCGTGGTACCATAACCTTCTTGTAAGGATGCCTGTCGGAAAGGATCTGAGTCGGACAGGTTATGGTCACATGATAAGAGTTAAGGCAGGTTAGTTGAGTCGGACCCGTTTCGGGTACTTATGGAGATTGACCCAACGTGGTTCCTCTCCTCATCTTTTTTGTATCCTTCGTAGTAGACCTATAGGATAGCATCTGTTTAGCCTCCGACTCGCACTCCCATATGCTATTACTGTGAGCTGGGTGCCCTGTGTCCTGACACTTCTCACCTCCTAGAATTCCAACTCTAAATCCTGTTTCATCCATATTCCAAATTGACTCTGGCTTTGTATGGCATTCTAGTACAAACTCAATGTACTCTTGAAACCATCATGTAATAGTAGACTCATATTGAGCTTTTGTATGCTGTAATGCAATAGGCTTTGTAGTAATAAAGTGGTATTCTTAAAGCTCATTCTGTATATATTTTGTAAGCTAGCTCTGTGATGGTGGAGCCTATGGGCTAAGCTTGCAGACTATAGTAAATATCATATTTCTAGTAGCTCTAAGCCCTAGGAAATACTGCTCTACATTTCTTTAGGGCCTCTGTCTGCATAGTAGAGAGCACCTTATTCTAGCCCCTTCTACAGGTCTGTGGGTTCTGAGTACGTCGTTTGATACTTAGACATAGAGTTGATTCTAGGACCTTGAAAATGCAACTAGCAACCCTTAAAGATTCAGAGGAGTCCCCTCTATTAAATGAATTATATAGGATTACAATATAAATTACTATCTACAGCTATGGAAAAGGTTTTGTTAAGGAATAGCAGTAAACAGACGCATGTAGCAAAAGCACGCATTTCGCTTCCTCCCATTTCTTGTGCATGCGGATCGCTTACTCCAACCTTAAGCTAAGCGAAAAGTTTAGTTACAACGATTAGTTCTTAAGTTAGCTAATCCTGTTTATGTTACTGCTTACGCCATTACTTAGCTTCTTAGCCTTTATATTATGGCTATGGTAATGTGATATTAGTTATATGGCTAGTAGGGCTAGGCTTAGTAACGTGACCTAAGAAGTCATGAGGCTAGCACGGCTAGGCTGTAGCGTAACCAGGCTAGTGGATAGTTGCACTATCTATCAACTATCTAGATTATCTATAATGCATGACACCACTATATAAGTAGATAGTATTCCCTTAGACAGGAGCTTTGTGCTCAACTTAATATAGTATTCTTTACAATACTATAACGTGTTACTTAGAAAGCCTTTGTGTTTAATCCCCTGCCTCCTCTGTTAAGTCAACCTTATGTAAGAAACCTTTGTGTCTTCTATCATTTAGAAGTTAGCTTACACTTCACAGTCTAATGCCCATGATCAGATGACAAGTCACATCATGTTGAGGGAAAGAGAATGGCAGCTTTTTGTGCAATTGTTAGGCTCGCTAATTGGCACTTAGCATGAGTAGATTGCATTAGGTTTTAGGCCTAAACCCTTCTGTTACTTAGGGAGTTTAGGTAGGCCCTCCGAATGACATAAATAATATGTAGGCTCCGTAGGTAGTGTAGTAATTCAATCCATTCATTCTATATACTGTAGTCTACTGTCCAGTTCTCCTGCCTTTTGTGCAAAAGCCTAAAGTGTCATACTGACATTCGTTGCACTCAGTTTGCTATCAAACTCAAGAGCAAACTTAGAAATCTCCTCCTCAAACCTACAAGTCACTATACATATTTTGGCTTATCACACCAACAACAAGAGCAATACTACTCAATGATTGCTGCAACCCTCTATGATTCATTACACGTCATTGCTCCTTAGTTACTGGGCCGATATTACCACATAGCATATCTCTACAACCCTCTATGATTCATTACATGACATCACTCCTCAGTTACTGGGCTAATACTACCACATGACATATCTCTACCAACTAGAGTCCTAGTAAGATGAACGATAGTTCCAAAAGCTTCTACAACCCTCTATGATTCATTACACGTCAAAGCTCCTTAGTTACCCACAAGATTGGTTAGGTTATGACATAATTTGTCTATAGGGGTACTCTGACCTTGGACCTCCTTTCACTTCCTATAGGCTAGGAACCTAAGAGATGGTTCTATGGGATTCTCTTACATTGACTACAGTTACCAAGCCTGGTTAGTCATGGAAAGTCTTGGAAAATGAGAGAACTACACTACTTTAGCATAAATAGGATTGCCCTTTCCTTAAGAAAGGGCAAGCAGATAATACAGTAAATCGACTATCACATACTTCTACGTCTTTTCCAAGCTTCCAAGCATTGATCTTGTTATTCCTTGTTTCTGAAAAGTCAGTGAGGTGCTAACCTCTGACTTATCCCTGAGTTCTCAGACTCAACATTTGTTACAACTTGTCTAAACCACTCCACTACATCATACACCTGATTGCTGTATTGTGGAATAGTCTAAGCTACAACCCTTTGGCTCTGTTTCCTAAGACAGTGTGTTGTCTTAGTAAAATCATCCCTTCCCTTGGGTGGCTAGATTCTCACATCTGGTGCACCCACCATTACACAAAGGTCTAGTCACTAAACACACTACATGATTTGCATGTGGTTGCAATATTTCGATCATTACTCTAACAGGTTATGAGCCTGGCGACGCTTAGGGAGATTCGTGTTTTATACTACAAAGAATTGATTCTGAAGTCTCACATCGATAAAGTGAAAAGCTGAGCTACCTGCTACGGTTTAGCTACACAAGCTAGAAAGTGATAACAGCTTGCGAAAATGGAGTCAGAGCACATCGAAAGGTCCTGGATCCAGAAGCTGTCTAGTCTGAACTATCAGAATTCGGCTCTCTAGATCTAGATCGAGTTCATTGAGAGGAAGGTTTAGAGTGTTATTAATGACAAGTTTATGCTTGAATATGAGCTAGACAAGCCAAAAACGGAAGAAACTAAGGAGGTTGCTGCTACACGCAAAGAATAGCTTGCTTTCCTCTACGACAATAGGGCTAGGAGGATCATCTAGAAAGTTGCCTCCTGTCAATTGTCAACTGGGTTATAGGCCTCTTGACAGCCAGAGAGGTCTAGGACAAGCTTAAGAGAATGCATGCCCATGACGGGCTGTAGCAGCTAGACTTGAAAAACAAGGCCTTTAGGAGCTACCTTCCGCTAGCATCTTCACTAGTGTTTGACATCGCCACAATGCTAAACCAGCTCTAGGATGATATCAGAGCGATAGAGCTAGAAGACAGGCCCTTAGACTTGAGGAAGGTCAGCTGGCTCCTAGCAATTATAAGAAGTCATAGTGGAAAATATGACATTACTAGTGCCTAAATCAGGGCAGCAAGGATTACGGATTACCAAGATATCATCGACTAGTTCATTGACATCGAAGGGCAGATGAAGGTTTTAAAGCCTGTTACCGAATCCGCCTAGCAAGCCTCTATAGGTACTGGAAACACAAGGGGCAAAGTGGGTGGACAGGGCGGCAGAGGCAAATCCTCTTAGAAAGACACCCATACGTGTTACCACTGTAGGAAGACTAGGCATATTTGTTAGGGCTGTAATGCGAAGAAGAGAGCCGAAAACGGTAGGGCTGTCAACTAGACCCCTCACGGCCCCTAGCAAACGCTACTGGTATCTAGGCTGCTACTACCACTAAGACGTCCTAGATCACCACGATCAACAAACCCCATGGCATCGATGCCTGCTAGGTTAGCAACGACCAAACCCAAAGCAAGGCTTAGATCATGGACTCGGGCTTCTCCTGCTACATGACATATGCCAAAGAGGCATTTACCGACTACATCAGTCTAGACAAACCGATTCCAGTTAGGTTAGCCAACAGGATGGAAATCTAGGCTGTTGCACACTTTCAACTATCGCCCTCATCCTGAGAGGCACTGCTCTTGCTCTTCCCGCCGCCGTTCAAACTGTCCGCCTCACCTTTGCTGACGGGACCATTCACCCAACCAGTGCGCCTCCTCTGTGGCTTCTTCAGTCATCCCGCTCTATCTAACATACCCCTCAGACCATGCTTTGCCATCTCCATCATCGACGCACCAGACTACCTCGCCCTGAGCGACTGCACCTTCCACACTGGCGGCGAGCAGACTCTCGTTGGCGGCCTGCGCGCCGACGGTGTGCAGCAGGTCATCATTGGCCCGCCTCAGCCCATCACTAGCGTGAGCTGTTACGGAACTTGCGACCTTTTATGTGCCGGCAGTGTTGGCAAGGACAAGCTAACCATGGACAGGCAAGTGCTACGATAATAACAACCAGTTTATTGGCCCCTGCTGCAATGGGTACTGTGCTGCTACTCTTTGCAGGCCTTGGATCAACCCCTCCAACCCCTCCGTTTAAAGTGAAAGCTTCGAAGGGGAAGCATCAAGGAGGCGTTCTGGGGTCTGGGGTTAGGTTTGGTGCAGATGTTTCTATGTACTGAATCCTTTCAAGGTCCCATGAGGGCTGATCACTTTGCTTTCCATCCATTACGGAGCAAAGTAGAGCATAGTATTTATATACATTGGTATCTTATAATCTTTTTACATTAATGGCCTAATCTCGTGCCATCTCTTCATATTCCGGGAGTTCCCATCCCTTGAGGGTCTCCTTAAGGCTCCACTTCCCGATATTCACCTTGAATAAAGAGGCTATCCCCACGAGACAATTGATGACGGCAATTCCAAACGACGTTGACATGAATGAGTCCAAACTCGACTTTTCTTCTACCCCTTTCTGGATGTAGTTCATAAAAGGCTGGAACTTTTGTTCGTAGGCCTTGAGCGCCGCCGCAATGCCATCTCTGCTACCACCTCCTTTACTAGCATCTCCACCACAGTGTCTCCCGATCTCGCCAGCCAAGATATAGGCACCCACCATGGCGCCGGTAGTGCCCATTCCCGTATGTACCGACGGGCAAAAACCCGCATCTCCAAGGAGAGTTACGCGGCCGCGCGACCAGGAGTCCAGCTTAACAAGGCCCAGGTGCTCGCCATAGAAGTTATCGGTGTCTTTGAGGGACTCCACGAGCTCATCCAGCTTCCACCCGGCGCCTTTGAAAACCTCTGCCAAGGCCGCCTTTTCCTCTTCGATGCCTTCCTGACAAGCAGTCCTGAGTCGCCCTGTATCAAGCCTGCAGGCAAGGTATACCTGGATCTCATCCGAATTGCTCCGTCGAGTCAACACCCATCGGATACCAGTAGCAAGGTAGAAAGTGGCCATGTACCCCTCTCCTTCTCGCATCGGCTGAGGGATAGTGAAGTATGCGATGTATTCGCCATCGCCAATCGGGACGAACGCATCCGCAGCGCCGGGTCCGAGCATCATCCTGCGTGTTCGTGATCCCTGGCCATCGGCACCAATCAAGAGATCGTACCTGCCCGTCTTGCCGTCCGCAAACTTAACCTCAACGCCGCCTTCTGTCTCCTCAAAGCTTTCGATCGACGTCCCGAAGACATACTCGACTCGGTCCTTGGTTACATCATACATAATACGACAGAGATCGCCCCTCATTATCTCATACTCGCTAGTGAAATTCTGGTTTCCTTTGCCAGAAGTGTTTGCCGGGAAGTAGCCGCGTCGCCTGCCAGACTTGTCGACTACCTGGATGCCCTGCTCTGGAGCGGCTTTGGCACGAAAAGCCTCGTCGAGACCCATGCGTTTCAAGACCTCGATTCCGTGGCCGCGAAGATCTATCTGGAGTCCTGTGGTCCGTAGGCTCGAGAACCGTTCGACGACGGTGACGTCGTGGCCGAGCTTTGACAACCAAAAGGCTACTGCATTACCGGCAATACCGCCACCGCTGACGAGGATTTTCATAGATGCCATGGTTTGCTTGATATTATGGGCGCTTAGGTGGTAAATTGAAGCAATAATAGATATAATTTTATAACATCCGAATGTTTTGACTTAACAGGCAGCAGAGAACGCCCGAACGAAAGGTCATTTAACACAAGGACAGGCCCGAACCTCCCAATATAATGAAACAGTTTGCTTTGACTGGAGCTTGAGGAACGGTAGTACCGGAGGAAACCTTTCACAGCTTATATTATTGAGCACTCCCATGATTTGGAATTTGCTGTTACCCCCGAACCGAAAATGGGTATACTGCGTCGTAAGCTCGTTCAAGTCATCCATCTGTTATCCCAGTAAATCAAGTGGCTATACAGATAGCTGAAGACTCAATGCAGGTCTTAAATCCTTGAAGCACCACATATTGGTTGGGTAGTACGTACAGCTAAAACTTTTTAGGGGTTATTTGAGAACATAGTGGACGGAGATAAACACACGGCCTATTGGCTTCCTGTCTCGGACTTAACCATTCAAACAAGCTCAAAAGACCGACGAGACTCCTTTTAAACACCGGCGATTCCCAATCATCGGGAAATTCACACTTGTCGCACAATTTGTTGCAAAATCCTTCATGAAGAGTAACCCCAGTGTAAGGCCGCTAATCCGTAAGTGCTGCAAGATGCCACTATTTGTCGAGAGATTTCGAAGTTGCATCTGACACAAGACCAGAAAGAACCTTATCCCCGCCATGTCCGAACCCCTGAGCCCCGCCTCATCTGTGAAAAAGCGACGAAGGCCAGCTCTTTCATGTGAGCCATGCCGACGGCGGAAGGTCACCTTGTAGCCAATGTGTGCAGTCAAAAATTGCAACCCTTCCAGCTGTGTCTCGTCGCACACGCGGCGCCTACCCGGCGGCTTCCTTCCCTAGGCAATCTTCAACGGGGCTTTTAAATCGAGTACGGAGCATCCCGAGTAGCTTAAGCACTCACGCATCTTCAGTTGACGTGTCACCCAGCTCTACCCACCTCTCTACTACCACCCATCCCGGCTCATATGGCTCGCCGGTTGTGGAATCGGGTGAATCCCATCAGGAGGAAACACTTTGCCACAAAGACTTGCTCGATCGCATCGAGCAAGTCTTTGTGGCAAAGTAGCTGGCTATCGCCAAGTCAGAGGGAACGACTAATTCACCACCTCCAATTCCAAACGTAGCTCCCAAAAAGCTAAGTGGCATCATATCGAAGACACGGTTTTTGGGAGGCACTCACTAGACGTACTCGCACGGAGCTGTATGTTATCATTTTTGCCGAGTCTAGCAGCGAAGCTGACCTTTGCAGTTTGACGACATAGCTTATCTATTTGCTAAGTCTACTAGACATCCCTCGGGCTGTTCTTATACTTCCTCGGAGCAAGTAGATGATATTACAGAGATTATGCAAAAATGCAAGGCACTCGCCAAAAGTATGAAGGCAATTCCGTACTCTCAATGGCTCGCAGTAAGTTGCAACCTCCTCCTTTTACTCTTGACTACCTCTAATGCCTCTCATACACCACCTGGGGTTTAATGTATGCTAACTTACTATTCCTATTCAGAATCCATGTTTCAGAGATGCTGTTCCCGAAAAAAATTGCGGATCAGTTGGTTAATGCATACTTCAGAACCTCTGAATCTATATAGCGAATCCTTCACATCCCGTCATTTCTGAAGGAATACCAGCAGTATTGGGATCAACCCGATGTGGCGAATCCCGTATTCATCGTCAAGCTCTTACTTGTCATGTCAATAGGGGGGTGCTTTTATCAAGGCCCCGACTCTACACATTACCCAGTAGAATCAAAGAAATAGATTTTTGCCGCACCATCCTGGCTATCTACTCCTTTTGAGAAAGCAAAACTTCACATCTCTACAGTCCAAATTCAATGTCTATTAATTATAGCACGCCAATACTGTTCAATATCTGGCGATGTCGATCCTACGAACGGCTATGCAAATGGGTTTCCATCGTGACTCGGCAGGTTTGCCGAAAATAGGAATACTTCAAAGGCATGATCCAACTATCAATTGGAAGCATTTATGACCTGGGTTTAGCTCAAATCCTGAGCTCAATACTGAAAAAACCCTTCAAGCCTCAGTTACCCCTATTCAGGTCCAAGATTCAAACTTGTCCCAGATCAAGGATTTTGACCAAACTATGGACGATATATCATCTCTTATATGGATTAAACCTTTCCAACCTGTCCTAGAGATAGCAGCTACTTCAGACTTGGAGAAATCATCTCAGGAGGTCATTTTGCCTTCAGCATACCAAGACTACCAACACCTCTTTGACAAGGCAAAGGCATCAATTCTGCCAAAGCACCAGCCTTATGACCATGAGATACCACTCGCAGAAGGCTCAATGCCTCCCTATGGCCCTATCTGCTACCTGCATTACAGCTGAAAACTCTCAGAGAATACCTAGATGAGAACCTTAGTTCTGGCTTTATCAGACCTTTTCCCTCACCAGCAGGAGCTCCCATTCTCTTTGTCAAGAAGAAAGATCTCCTTGCATCTCTGTGTTGATTATAGGGGCCTAATGCAGTCACTGTTAAAAACAGATATGCTTTACCCCTTATCCCTGAGCTCATGGATAGGCTCTCTTCAGCAAAGATCTTTACCAAGTTAGATCTCAGGGGAGCTTATAACCTGATACGCATCAAGGAAGATGATGAGTGGAAGACAGCATTCAGAACACGCTATGGTCATTTTGAATACCAGGTAATGCCTTTTGGGCTTGCCAATGCACCTGCTTCTTTCCAAGCTCTCATGAATGATATTCTAAGACCTTACTTGGATATCTTTGCTGTTGTCTACTTAGACGACATTCTTATATACTCTTTAGACACTCATGAGCATGTTCTACATGTTAGACAAGTCTTAGAGAAGCTATCTCAAGCACAACTCTTTTGCAAACTTGAGAAATGTCTTTTCCATATGTCTCAAGTTGATTTCTTGGGACATAGAATTTCAACAGAAGGCATTCAGATGGACCCTGAAAAGACAAAAGCAGTACAAACGTGGCCTATTCCTTTCAGCATTAAAGAGGTTCAGTCTTTCCTTGGGTTTGCCAACTATTACAGGAGGTTTATACCAAGATATACATCCTTGGCTTTACCCCTTACTCAATTACTTCACAAGGACACTTTGTATCACTGGGATAAGACACAGCAAGATGCTTTCGATGCTCTTAAAGGAGAATTCAAAGAAGGGAAAATGTTACTACACTTTAACCCCTTGAAACCTGCCACTCTTGAAACAGATGCCTCAGATTTTGCTATTTCTGGAATCTTATACCAAGCTCCAAAGGACAAACAAGAAGAGCTACAGCCTGTGGAATTTTACTCAAGAAATCTATCAGCAGCTGAACAAAACTATCCCATTACAGACAAGGAACTGCTTGCCATAGTATGTTCTCTAAAGCATTGGAGATGCTACCTTGAAGGGGCAAACTATCCTATCACTATTTACAGTGACCATTCAAATCTCTTGACCTTTACAACCACTAAACAGCTCAATCGACGACAGGCAAGGTGGTCTGAACAACTAGGAGGTTTTGACTTTGTTATAAAACATGTCTCAGGGGCCAAGAATCAAAGAGCAGATCTCCTCTCAAGAAGACATGACTACCAAGATTCTGCTAAAACAAGCAATACAAAGGCCCTGCTAACCTCTACAAAGCTTATAGCATCTTTAAGCAACCCTCGCACTACAGAGGACTTAGAGGGAAACTTATCCCCTCAAGACCAAGTTGCCCCCATTACCTCTTCTCAGAAACCAGAGAGCTTTAAAGACTATACACCCTCAGCAACACTTCTTAAAGCATTCAAAGATGCTTACAACCACGATCCCTTTGCCAAAAGAACTTTGGAATACCTCCAGAAGAAAGGCTCCTCTCTTGAGAAAGTTGGACTACTAAATTTCTCAAAAAATCAGCAAGGACTTCTCTTATTCAAGAGCTATATCTATGTCCCAAGGGATAAACGATTACAGCTACACCTCCTACAGCAGTTCCATGATGCTCCAGCTGCAGTGTAAGGACACAGGGAATACGGCTCTCCGTAGGTGCATATGGGAGTGCGAGTCGGAGGTGATGCTGTATTCTATCCTATAGGTCTACTACGAAGGATACAAAAAAGATGAAGGTGTCACCCTGTATGGCTGTTCCCTTAAAATACCCGAAACCGCTCCGACTCAGCTAGCTCCCTGTTTGCCTAAGGCTTCCTTACGTTATGTGCCTAAGGCTGTCAGTCGCGACTGACCCGTAACGGCCCCGAGTCTCGATGGCGCCACGTGACGGCCGTAACTACCCCGAGTAAGGAGGCATCCTTACACTACCCCCCGCCTTGAGAAGGTGCTTTGTCCTCAAAGCACGCAAGCCGAGTAGCTGCCGCGACGAGCCCTTGTTTGGGTTGGTGGGTGAGGTGTGGGCGCCAAGACTAGAATGCCCTTTGTTTGTCCAGAAGGCTGATGGTGGGCGGCCGTATAGGCACTGGAAGTGGTCTGAATCCGTTTGCGCAAAGTCGCGTCTTTGTTGTGTGCGCGGCGATTAGTGTTGCGAGGGTCCGTATTGGTATCGAATAGGGTCCGCGCGGTATGTGTCGAGGGGGAAATTTCGCGCTAACCCGATTCGGACGGCTTTGTTATAAGCCAGAATATGAATTCGAGCTTCGCCCAGAACTTGTTGTTTTCTTCACAACAACGACGCTGAGCCCCCCTCCCGAGACTGGTAAGTGGCCCTTCCGATGGTACAGCTGGATGCTAACAGGTTGTTTTTAGATACAAAAACACAACGAACGATTTGGTAGGTGACGGAACCGCGCTGGCGCGGTGGTGATAACTTGGGTTGGGCTGACGGGAAATCGCAGATTTCCAATTTGAAGATGCCGGTTCCCCCTCCTCCCGGCGCCCTCACTGTGGCTTTCCGCCAGCAGTGTATGCGCTGCGTGCGCGCCAAAGGGCGCAAGAAGGACGGAGATCCCGCCGTCTCGTGTGTGTGGAGCTTGGAAAGCTCCAAGTGTGAGCGCTGCGTGGCCCAACACGCAACGTGTGTTCCGGTGGGTTCTCGTTTGGTTTTCGGTTTTGTGGTTTGTCTGTCTGCCCGTCGCTGACCTCTGGAGATAGATCTCCTGGTTTGCTGGCCCGGAGTACCAGAAGCTCCTGGCTACCGAGGCAGCAACCCCTCCCGTCCCCGCCGCCATCAAGGCCGCTGCGGCGGAGATTGGGCGTGTGGTCACATTGGCCACCGCCAATATGCCGAAGTTCCGCTCCCCGGCCGAGCTTTCGGCCTATATGGAGAGTTGCGCCCTCCGCGCCGCCGTCGAGGACGGTCTGGAGGTAAGTTTTCCGTTTCCCTTGTGTGTTTTTGGTTCTCGCGCTGACGACCGTAGCGGGTCCGCCAGGCCGTGGCCGTCGTGGGCCAGAAATCGGCCCTGATCCTGGTGAACCAGGAGAAGGAGATCGCTGCCCTTGATGGGGTGGCTTCTGCGGTGGATGCAGTGGGGGAGTTGGTGGAGAGGATCCCCGACGTCCTCGCCGCGGCGGCGAAGGTGGGCGGTGGTGGGGGGAAGAAGAGGAAGAGGGGGGCGGAGGTGGAGGAGGAGGGGGTGACCGTCGACCTTGGGTGATAGGCCCTGTGTCGGAGGGAACTCGGGCGTGGTCTTTCGCGTGGGGTCACTTCGACCCTTCGTCTCTCATGGTGGTAGCGGCTTGTTGCGACGCCGGTGAGACGTTTGGGAAGGGTGGCTTCCGCAAGGGCTACGGCTCTGAGGGTGCCCTGGCTTAGAGGGTGTTTAGTTTAGTGTCGTAGGTAGCAACGACGCTGTTTTCCTCTGCTTTGCCGTGCCTCTCGTGATCGTAGCTTGGTTTGCCTGTCTCCCATTCCGTGATCCAGCCGGGTAGGTCCTGCGGCGGTCCTGGCAGGTTTGGGTACTCCGCGTGGAACTCCCGGATTTTGTAGGGGGAGTTCTTAAAGTTTGAGGCGGGGTACCATTCCGGGTCCGGATCGTATCCGACCCAGGATACCTGGTATTGAAGTTGTTTTCGCCGGATCCTTACAGCGAGGATCTTTTCGACCTCCCACTCCTCTAGGCCGTCTACGACTTCGCTGCTTGGCTCAGGCGCTGCTTGACCGGGCAGCGGGTTATTTGGAGCCTTGATGAGTACGTCTGGAGAGAAGACATCGTGTATTTGGGAACCCTTCGGTAGGTCTAGTCGGAAGGCGTGTCCGATTTGTTCGAGTACCGTATAGGGTCCGACCCATTGTTGCCCCAGCTTACGGCTAGGGCGGTGATTTTTCAGATTCTTGGTCGATAGGTAAACCTTGTCTCCTACGTCCCAGTCAATGGCTCATCGGCGTCGATTCGCGTATTTAGACATATCCTCTTGTGCTTTGGCCATGTTCTCCTTTGCGTAAATCCATGCGGAGTGCATGCGGTTTGCTACTGCTTTGGCTTCCTTCTGGTTCATGACTTCCCTAGGGGTCGTGGCTTTCGGGGTTTCCCAGTCCCAACTGGTGCGCGGATCAGTTCCGTACTTGAGTCGGTAGGGGGTCATTCCGATCGAGGCATGGGGAAGGGTCATTTGCACCCGATCCATGATGGGAATGAGCTCGCTCCAGTTATCCTGGTAATGTGATACGAAGGGCCTCAGTCTCTGATCGATATACCTATTCATGATTTCCGTCTGCCCGTCGGTCTGCTTGTGATAGGCTGTCGACAGCTTAATCTTGACCCCTATGATTTGGCAGAACTCTCGCCAGAAAGCTGATATGAATTAGGGTCCGCGATCACTAATGATCGACTCTGGGGTGTGTCCGAATCGATATATCCATTCGATGAATAGCTGCGCCATTTGGCGGGCATCGGTGGTCTTATGACACGGTATGGACACCGAACCCTTACCGAGTCGGTCCATGAACACAAGGATGCTGTCGAATCCGTGTTTATCCTTTGGGAATTCCTTAAAGTCCATCGTTAGGTGTTGCATGGGGTATTCGGGTACCGGTAGGGGGTGTAAGAAGCCTTGCTGCTTCGTCACGCTAGTGTGAGAAAGTCGGCACGTCACGCAGTTGCGCACATATCGGAGGCAATCCGCTTCCATTCCGACCCAATGATACTTCGGGGCGAGTAACTGATAAGTTTTCCTGCCACTAGGGTGGGCTACTGATACTTGATCGTGTGCTTCCCGTATGAGTTTCGTACATAACTCGGTGTGCCGGTTTACGCACAGTCGACCTTTGTATAGCAAGAGTTGGTCCTTCATTATAAACCCGTTAGGTAGGGGGTCTTTCACGCGAGTGTCGGTAAACGACCTCCTATTATCCGCACAGAGCGCTTCTATCAGGTCAAAGGGGACCTGGGTGTTCGGGGCGTCCATCGCATTGATCGAGGCCACGTACGTTTGTGCTAATTCGGCACTGATTCGGGAGTGTAGTCGGGCTGGGCCTAACAGCACCCTCGCACGGCTGTCGAGTTTGACCTTCTGTTGCGTAATCAGGTCTTGCTCTCTTCGGCTCAGTATATCTGCCTTCTGATTGTTCTTGCCAGCAGTATACGCAATAGAGAAATTGAAGTCGGAGAGTAGCTCCATCCACCGAACCTGCTTCGCCGTGAGAACCTTCGTCGACATGAAGTATTCCAGCGATCGGTGATCTGTATAGACGTCGATTCGGTGGCGTACCGATGCTAATTCTGGCCTCCATTTTGCGAACGCTTTGACGATGGCGAACAGTTCCTTGTCGTGGATCTCCCAATTGATCTCATGCCCAGATAGGACGTGACTGTAGAAGCTTACAGGATACCATCGCTTGTCGGGGTGTTCCTGAGAAAGGACACCGGCTACGACTCCATCAGAAGAGTCTGTTTCCAGCTTCGTAGGCAATTCGGGGTTGAAGTGGTGGAGCGCCTGCACGGCTAAAAGCTGTCGGCGCATTTCTTCAAAAGCGTTCTCACATTCGTCAGTCCACAGGAACGGTTCTGAGGGGCTGGTGATAGTGGTGAGAGGCTTGGCTATTTTCCCGAAATTTCTGATAAATTGGCGGTAGAAGCCGCAGAATCCAAGGTAAGACTTCACGCCTGTGACAGTTGTTGGCCGGATCCAATTCCGGAGGGGTTCGATCTTCTCGGGATCCGCTTCGACACCGGTAGTAGTCAGGATATAGCCTAAATACTTTGTCCGGGTTACGTTGAACTCGCATTTCTTAATGTCGGCTTGTAGTCCTGCTTCTCGAAGCCGTTGGAGGACCTTATGTACGTGGTCCATGTGTTCCGCGGGGTCCTCGGAGTAGATTAGGATGTCGTCTAGGTAGGCAGTACAGAAGTCGTCCAAGTATTGCATAAGAACGTCGTTCATATACCTCTGATAGGTTGCGGGGCCGTTCGTTAGGCCAAACGGCAGCACTTTGCATTTGTAGGATCCATACCGAGTCCGGAAGGTCGTGTACTCCTCGGAGTCGGGGTCCATTCGTATACGATGGAAGGCTTGCCTAATGTCTAGCTTCGTGAAGATTTTTGCTTTCGACACCCGTCCTAGTAGTTCGTCGATACGCGGGATAGGGTAGGGGTCATTACGGGTAAGTCCGTTCAACTTCCGGTAGTCGATACAAAATCTCAGTTTGCCATCTGCCTTCTTCACGAACAGTATAGGGGAGGCAAACGGGCTATTGCTATTGACTATAAAGCCCTTCTCGAGGTTCTCTAATAGGTATTGCTTAGTCGCCTTAAGCTCTTCGGTGCTTTGTCGGTATAGTGGCGAAAAGGCATTTGGTAAAGGGGCTTCTAGTTGTATCTTGTGATCGTATATGCGATGCGGGGGAAGCTGATCAGATTCCGACTTCGAGAAGACATCGGAATAGTTGCGGTGCATATGCGGAAGCTTGTCCCGAATGAGGCAGAGCGTTTCCTCGTCCTCGGCCGCTTCCCTCTCTCGGATGATCTGGTCGATCTCGTAGATGCTTGTCGTAAAGAACTCGGAGTCGCTTCGTATCATCTCATAGTGGAAAGCGTTTGCGCCAATCTCGCAAATTTGGACCGGCGTGAAGCTGCGTACCAGGGTCTGGCGTCGGGAAAGAGAGAAGACTCCGCTCCTCCCATGATTCTTTCTCTCATATGCGGATGGTCCGTTTCTTGGAGGTTTCGCCTCCACTTGCCCTAAGGGTCCGTCTTTATAGGTTTCCATGGGCGAGGCTCGTGTCCTTGGGGTTTTGGGGTGCGGGTGGGTCGTTCCCTCGTCTCGCACCGGGCTCGGTGGGGTGATCATAATAGCGTCACGATGGGCCGTTATCACTTTCATTGGTATCGAGCGTCCGCCCTCACGTCGTCTGTCGTCATGGTCGATGGCATCGTCCCGCCGGTTCGCATCCGATTGATGGGCGGGGTGACGTATAGACAGTTCACGCGAGTGGTAGGGCAAGGTGATCTCTTTGCTCCAGCTAGGAGTAGGCGGGTACTCCTTTGGCCATACTAGCAGCTCTTTGCAGAGTCGAGTAGGATTCGGAAGCGGCTAAAAAGCTTCTTCCCAATTATCACATCTTGCGCTCCGAGATCTAGGAGCACAAAGGGGCAGTTATATATTCGGCGTCCTTCGACTGTCAAGTGTAACCGAATATACTCCGATACGTAGCTTTGGATATTTCGCTGAAATCCACGTATGGGTACAGAGTAGGGCAGTTTCCGTATGGGGCTCTGAAGCGCTTTCGACAACCGTTGCGCGAAAGCTTATTAATGACGAGGTAGCCATTTGATCCTGTGTCTGCGAGTGACTTCGTTTGCACCCCGAGTCCGTTCATACTCAGGGTTGTATCAACGAGAAATTGGGAGCCTCCCAAGAGCTCTCGTAAATCCAGTCCTTGCAGATCACATTTGCGTAGACCTAGGAAGGAGCCTTTCCCTAGGCCTCGTCGTTTTCCTCCAGGGACGCATCCGACTGGTGGGCGACTGCTTCCTCCCACTGCTCTTCGTCCTCAGGGGCTTCGCGGTCAATCTCCTTGACGGTGGGGTTGAGCGGGCATTTGTCTTGGAAATGGCCCGGCTTGCCGCACTTGAAACAGTTCCCGGACGTAGCCGGCACGGCGGTCCGCACGCGGCCTGTAATGTCCGGCTTGGGGCCGTGGGCGTAAAAGGAGTCCTCTGGAAGGAGACCAGAGGCTTCTTGTAGGCCTCAGCGGTTGGGTTCTTCCGGGCTCAGCGGGTGTGAACCTAGATGAGCTCAGACGAGCGGGTCCTCGGGAGCTCGACTCGCCGCTCTTGGACGGGAAGCTTAGCTCGTTGTTCCGGCATCGCTCCTGATCGAAGGCGGTGAGTTCTCGGACCATAGTGTGGTAGTCTCCTTCCATTGACTTTTGATAACCGCTACGCGGCTACGGAATTGAGGGTCAACTTGTTCCACATGTACCGAAACCATTCCGACTCTGTGACCTGTCCCGTAATAGCTGCACTTTGGAAGCGAGCTTTGAACTCTGAGAAAGTCTCGTTGGTATGTCCTTTCTCTCCCATTTGGAGGTCGTCGAAGAGGTTCCGGGCCTGTCCGTTTCGTTGCCAGTGAGGTAATATGAACCCAACAGGTCCATCATCTCGTCGGCACTCCGAAACCCATGTGTCGCGGATAGGTATTGGGGTTCGAGGTATTTCTTTGCCAGGCCAGTCGTAGTCCCCCATATCAACGCTCTTCTCGAGACGTCGGTAGGGTAGTGATCCTCATTGACTACGAGGCGGTCCCGAATGGACGCGCTCCATTGCATAAAGGTATGTTCTATCCCATCGCTGAGCGGCGTAATCTTCTCAGAGATGGTGGATTTCTTGTAGCGATTCGGAGGGTCTTCGGAATACATCCTCGGAATCGATGGAGAACGAGTGTTTCGAAGAGGCGGCAACTGAACTGTCTCGGGGGTGTTTCGCATAGGGGAAGTTCGTCGCTNAACGACCTCCTATTATCCGCGCAGAGCGCTTCTATCAGGTCAAAGGGGACCTGGGTGTTCGGGGCGTCCATCGCATTGATCGAGGCCACGTACGTTTGTGCTAATTCGGCACTGATTCGGGAGTGTAGTCGGGCTGGGCCTAACAGCACCCTCGCACGGCTGTCGAGTTTGACCTTCTGTTGCGTAATCAGGTCTTGCTCTCTTCAGCTCAGTATATCTGCCTTCTGATTGTTCTTGCCAGCAGTATACGCAATAGAAAAATTGAAGTCGGAGAGTAGCTCCATCCACCGAACCTGCTTCGCCGTGAGAACCTTCGTTGACATGAAGTATTCCAGCGATCGGTGATCTGTATAGACGTCGATTCGGTGGCGTACCGATGCTAATTCTGGCCTCCATTTTGCGAACGCTTTGACGATGGCGAACAGTTCCTTGTCGTGGATCTCCCAATTGATCTCATGCCCAGATAGGATGTGACTGTAGAAGCTTACAGGATACCATCGCTTGTCGGGGTGTTCCTGAGAAAGGACACCGGCTACGACTCCATCAGAAGAGTCTGTTTCCAGCTTCGTAGGCAATTCGGGGTTGAAGTGGTGGAGCGCCTGCACGGCTAAAAGCTGTCGGCGCATTTCTTCAAAAGCGTTCTCACATTCGTCAGTCCACAGGAACGGTTCTGAGGGGCTGGTGATAGTGGTGAGAGGCTTGGCTATTTTCCCGAAATTTCTGATAAATTGGCGGTAGAAGCCGCAGAATCCAAGGTAAGACTTCACGCCTGTGACAGTTGTTGGCCGGATCCAATTCCGGAGGGGTTCGATCTTCTCGGGATCCGCTTCGACACCGGTAGTAGTCAGGATATAGCCTAAATACTTTGTCCGGGTTACGTTGAACTCGCATTTCTTAATGTCGGCTTGTAGTCCTGCTTCTCGAAGCCGTTGGAGGACCTTATGTACGTGGTCCATGTGTTCCGCGGGGTCCTCGGAGTAGATTAGGATGTCGTCTAGGTAGGCAGTACAGAAGTCGTCCAAGTATTGCATAAGAACGTCGTTCATATACCTCTGATAGGTTGCGGGGCCGTTCATTAGGCCAAACGGCAGCACTTTGCATTTGTAGGATCCATACCGAGTCCGGAAGGTCGTGTACTCCTCGGAGTCGGGGTCCATTCGTATACGATGGAAGGCTTGCCTAATGTCTAGCTTCGTGAAGATTTTTGCTTTCGACACCCGTCCTAGTAGTTCGTCGATACGCGGGATAGGGTAGGGGTCGTTACGGGTAAGTCCGTTCAACTTCCGGTAGTCGATACAAAATCTCAGTTTGCCATCTGCCTTCTTCACGAACAGTATAGGGGAGGCAAACGGGCTATTGCTATTGACTATAAAGCCCTTCTCGAGGTTCTCTAATAGGTATTGCTTAGTCGCCTTAAGCTCTTCGGTGCTTTGTCGGTATAGTGGCGAAAAGGCATTTGGTAAAGGGCTTCTAGTTGTATCTTGTGATCGTATATGCGATGCGGGGGAAGCTGATCAGATTCCGACTTCGAGAAGACATCGGAATAGTTGCGGTGCATATGCGGAAGCTTGTCCCGAATGAGGCGGAGCGTTTCCTCGTCCTCGGCCGCTTCCCTCTCTCGGATGATCTGGTCGATCTCGTAGATGCTTGTCGTAAAGAACTCGGAGTCGCTTCGCATCATCTCATAGTGGAAAGCGTTTGCGCCAATCTCGCAAATTTGGACCGGCGTGAAGCTGCGTACCAGGGTCTGGCGTCGGGAAAGAGAGAAGACTCCGCTCCTCCCATGATTCTTTCTCTCATATGCGGATGGTCCGTTTCTTGGAGGTTTCGCCTCCACTTGACCTAAGGGTCTGTCTTTATAGGTTTCCACGGGCGAGGCTCGTGTCCTTGGGGTTTTGGGGTGCGGGTGGGTCGTTCCAGTGTCTCGCACCGAGCTCGGTGGGGTGATCATAATAGCGTCACGATGGGCCGTTATCACTTTCATTGGTATCGAGCGTCCGCCCTCACGTCGTCTGTCGTCATGGTCGATGGCATCGTCCCGCCGGTTCGCATCCGATTGATGGGCGGGGTGACGTATAGACAGTTCACGCGAGTGGTAGGGCAAGGTGATCTCTTTGCTCCAGCTAGGAGTAGGCGGGTACTCCTTTGGCCATACTAGCCGGCTCTTTGCAGAGTCGAGTAGGATTCGGAAGCGGCTAAAAAGCTTCTTCCCAATTATCACATCTTGCGCTCCGAGATTTAGGAGCACAAAGGGGCAGTTATATATTCGGCGTCCTTCGACTGTCAAGTGTAACCGAATATACTCCGATACGTAGCTTTGGATATTTCGCTGAAATCCACGTATGGGTACAGAGTAGGGCAGTTTCCGTATAGGGCTCTGAAGCGCTTTCGACAACCGTTGCGCGAAAGGCTTATTAATGACGAGGTAGCCATTTGCTCCTGTGTCTGCGAGTGACTTCGTTTGCACCCCGAGTCCGTTCATACTCAGGGTTGTATCAACGAGAAATTGGGAGCCTCCCAAGAGCTCTCGTAAATCCAGTCCTTGCAGATCACATTTGCGTAGACCTAGGAAGGAGCCTTTCCCTAGGCCTCGTCGTTTTCCTCCAGGGACGCATCCGACTGGTGGGCGACTGCTTCCTCCCAATTATCTTCGTCCTCAGGGGCTTCGCGGTCAATCTCCTTGACGGTGGGGTTGAGCGGGCATTTGTCTTGGAAATGGCCCGGCTTGCCGCACTTGAAACAGTTTCCGGACGTAGCCGGCACGGCGGTCCGCACGCGGCCTGTAATGTCCGGCTTGGGGGCGGTGGCTGTGAAAGGAGTCCTCTGGAAGGAAACCAGAGGGCTTCTTGTCTGCCTCGGTGGCTGGGCCTTTCCGGGGTCCACGGGCGTGAACCTGGATGAGCTCAGGCGGGCGGGTCCTCGGGAGCTCGACTCGCCGCTCTTGGACGGGAAGCTCAACTCGTTGTTCCGGCGCCGCTCCTGATCGAAGGCGGTGAGTTCTCGGACCATGGTGTGGTAGTCTCCCTTCCATTGACTTTTGATAACCGCCACGCGGCTACGGAATTGAGGGGTCAACTTGTTCCACATGTACCGAAACCATTCTGACTCGGTGACCTGTCCTGTAATAGCTGCACTTTGGAAGCGAGCTTTGAACTCTGAGAAAGTCTCGTTTGTATGTCCTTTCTCTCCCATTTGGAGGTCGTCGAAGAGGTTCCGGGCCTGTTCCGTTTCGTTGCCAGTGAGGTAATATGAACCCAACAGGTCCATCATCTCGTCGGCACTCCGAAACCCGTGTGTCGCGGATAGGTATTGGGGTTCGAGGTATTTCTTTGCCAGGCCAGTCGTAGTCCCCCATATCAACGCTCTTCTCGAGACGTCGGTAGGGTAGTGATCCTCATTGACTACGAGGCGGTCCCGAATGGACGCGCTCCATTGCATAAAGGTATGTTCTATCCCATCGCTGAGCGGCGTAATCTTCTCAGAGATGGTGGATTTCTTGTAGCGATTCGGAGGGTCTTCGGAATACATCCTCGGAATCGATGGAGAACGAGTGTTTCGAAGAGGCGGCAACTGAACTGTCTCGGGGTGTTTCGCATAGGGGAAGTTCGTCGCTTCTCAACTTCGACGGTGTCCACCGGTGGCGTGGACGGGATCCTGGTCTGGGTTGCCGCTAGGTTGGCTATCATTTCCTTGATCTCCTGCATCTGGATCTCGAGGTTTGCCATTCGATCCGGTATGTCTTCGGTGGGTGCAGCAGTCCCAGCTGCAGCAGTGGTTTGTCTCGTTGGCATTCGTGACGGTTGACAATCATTGTCTTGGGGAATGTTTGAGGTCATTTTCCTCATGTTGGTTCGGGGGTGTATCGGTGTCGATACGAAAGAGTTTGACTTCCGGTAGCTCGTAGCTATCAACACTCTTGTTCACAATTACCTCTGTGCTTGAGGGGGTTCTTAAGGATCTCGTATCCTATTCGGCGCCAACGCGTCGACGACTTTACCAGCTTGCTCTGCAGGATCAAACCCTGATCCACTGGTCGTCCGTGAGTTCTCTGGGGTCACGGCTATTTGAAGTCGTCAGGTCTCAGCTCCGTCGCAGTTTCCGAGTCGCGGTCGGTGGTGTAACGGTAGTTCTCCTGAGTCGTTCCAGTGTGGGATATTCTTTGAGTACGGCCGTCCCCGGCAGGCGTGATCTTTTTTGTATAATGTAAGGACGCAGGGCACCGTATCACGAGAAGTGGCATATGGGAGTGCGAGTCGGATATGAGTCGGTGCAATCCTATAGGTCTACTACGAAGGATACAAAAAAGATGAAGGTGTAACCCTGTATGACTGTTCCCTTAAAATACCCGAAACCGCTCCGACTCAGCTAGCTCCCTGTTTGCCTAAGGCTTCCTTACGTTATGTGCCTAAGGCTGTCAGTCGCGACTGATCCGTAACGGCCCCGAGTCTCGATGACGCCACGTGACGGCCGTAACTACCCCGAGTAAGGAGGCATCCTTACACCTTATGACTCTATCCTTGTGGTGGTAGAAAGGCTCACAAAAATGGCACACTTTGAGCCTTGCAATGAGACTATCACAGCTTCTGAACTTGCGTGGCTATTCCTCAAGGTGGTCTTTAAATATCATGGAATTCCTGGACACTAGATCTCAGATAGGGGAGCAGTTTTCACTTCAAACTTTTTTAAGGAGTTCTCTAAACTCTTAAACATGGAACAACGCTTTTCTACAGCTTATCACCCTCAAACAGATGGCCAGACAGAGAGAGTCAACTCTGTACTTGAACAATATCTAAGAATTTATACAAACTATGCTCAAGACAACTGGGCAGATCTTCTCCATCTTGCAGAATTTGCTTACAACAACACAATCTCTAACACCACAAAAGAGACACCTTTCTATGCAAACTATGGTTATCACCCTAGGTTTGAAGTGGCAGAACTTAATTGTCCTGAAAATCTCAAAAACCCTTCTGCTACTGAAAGAATCATCTACCTTAAGGGCCTCCAGGACTATCTCAAGGTCCAAATACAGCGTGCACAAGACGAGCAGGCTCAGGCCTTTAACAGGGGGGTGGTTGCACCACAATTCAAAGTTGGTGATCAAGTCTTTTTGTCTAGAAGACATATCACAACTACTAGACCATCAGACAAACTTGATACTAAAAGACTTGGACCCTTTAAGATCACAAGGACTATTGGCAAGAATGCTTTCGAGCTTGCATTACCACCTACTTGGACTATCCATAATGTCTTCCATGCATCTCTCTTGTCTAAGGCACAAGAAAGTTCCTTAAGACCACTTCAGTCTCCTCCACCTCCTGTTCTGATTTTGGATCAACCAGAATATGAAGTAGAGTCTATCCTTGACAAAAAGACACTTAGAGGTCAGGACTACTTCCTCGTTAAGTGGAAAGGCTATCCTACAAGTGACAACACTTGGGAACCTAAGAGAAATCTAAAAAATGCATCCAAGCTGATTCTAGAATTTCTTTCTAAGAAAGCCACCTGGCTAAAGGGCAAGCACACAGCTAACAAACGTCCTTAAGAGGGGTATCATGTCATACTGACATTCGTTGCACTCAGTTTGCTATCAAACTCAAGAGCAAACTTGGAAATCTCCTCCTCAAACCTACAAGTCACTATACATATTTTGGCTTATCACACCAACAACAAGAGCAATACTACTCAACGATTGCTACAACCATCTATGATTCATTACACGTCATCGCTCCTTAGTTACTGGGCCGATATTACCACATAGCATATCTCTACAACCCTCTATGATTCATTACATGACATCACTCATACTACCACATGACATATCTCTACCAACTAGAGGCCTAGGAGCATGAACGATAGCTCTAAAAGCTCCTACGAACCTCTATGATTCATTACATGTCATCGCTCTTTAGTTACCCACAAGATTGGTTAAGTTATCACATAATTTGTCTATGACATAATTTGTCTATGACATAATTTGTCTATGACATAATTTGTCTATGACATAATTTGTCTATGACATAATTTGTCTATGACATAATTTGTCTATGACATAATTTGTCTATAGGGGTACTCTGACCTTGGACCTCCTTTTACTTCCTATAGGCTACGAACCTAATAGATGGTTCTATGGGATTCTCTTATGTCGACTACAGTTACCAAGCCTGGTAAGTCATGGAAAGTCTTGGAAAATGAGAGAACTACACTCCTTTAGCATAAATAGGATTGCCCTTTCCTTAAGAAAGGGCAAGCAGACAATACAGTAAATCGACTATCACATACTTCCACGTCTTTTCCAAGCTTCCAAGCATTCATCTTGTTACTCCTTGTTTCTGAAAAGTCAGTGAGGTGTTAACCTCTGACTTACCCCTGAGTTCCCAGACTCAACATTTGTTGCAACTTGTCTGAACCACTTCACTACATCACACACCTGATTGCTGCGTTGTGGAATAGTCTAAGCTACAACCCTTTGGCTCTGTTTCCTAAGACAGTGTGTTGTCTTAGTAAATTCATCCCTTCCTTGGGTGGCTAGATTCTCACATCTGATGCACCCACCATTACAACCTTGCATAAATACAATTATTCACTCTCGGCCCTCCTTATACTTGTTCCCGCCTTCAAGCTCAATAACTATCTTGATATGGCGGGGTATTCTCTCAATCCACGCCTGGATTTGCGCTTGTGGGACGTCCTCCCAACAGCTCTCCCATGACTGTATCCCTTGCGGCCGGCTTTTTGGTGCCCCTTTTCGTGTTGTTCTTCTCTTCATCCACGGCCAACATGGTTCAATCATGTTTAAGTCAGGAGAGTTAGCACACCAGAATAGTCGATTAATGTCGTGAATTGAGAATAGCCGCTCCTGGATATATTGACTATGTGACGGTGCATTGTCTTCTTGCACGACAGTCTGTGGCCGGTCTTTTCTGCACTCTTCTGCGAATGGGAATAACTTTGGAAGGAGAATCTTCTGTTGGTAGCGATACCAGTCTATCCCGCCTCCTTTCCCTCGAGTTAATTTTCCGTTTTTTTGATTGCTGTGGTTTTGGTCCTGGTAAATTCTATAGTCCCATCCGTTGAATCCCATTTGTAATTTCCCATTGCTCACGCATAATTGGCTCTAATTCCTTATTCATCTCTTGAACTTTTAATTCTGCTTCTTCTCTTTCTCGTTTGGTTTCTGGTATCCAACAGTGGCATGGCCCCTTCTTGTCATATGAGAAACATGCCCAAAACATGAACTCAGAGTATCCCTTCCACCGTTCTCGAATGCAAGATCGTAAAAATGCCTCTTCAACTTTCCGCCAAATCCGATATCCTCCCCGTCTATGGTTTAAAACAACAGAAGTTTCATCTAACCATATGACATTTTTCCAATCCTCAAGTGTCCAATCTTCGTGGTCAAGGCACCACTTTAGCCGTTGTTCTCTCATTCTCTTCGTCAATCCAGGCTTCCTCGTCGGTTTCGTTTTCCGATATCCTGCTGTTTTCAAGATTCGCCATATGGTAGTTGAAGAAATATCGAAACCGTTGATACTAAGTTCCCCTGCAATATCAGCGCAAGTTTTCTCACGGCCATATCTATCTCTGCATACTTTCGAAACAGCCTGATTGACTGTTTCCTCTGTCTGTTGTCGAGGGCGTCCAGAGCGAGGGGCGTCTTCTAGCCATTCATCTTGGAGAGAGAATGGCATGTGGTTTGGGTCGAAACCACGCTCAATTGCCCGAGTGTAAATCCGGTTTATCTGTCGAGCAGATACTCCTGTCTTCTCAGCTACTTCAGCTGTTGTCTTCCCTCCGATAGGGGATTTTAAGGTCACGATAAGAGCCCGAGTTGAGAGACTTGTATTTGGCGCCATGATTTTAACGTTCCACGTTTACGAGTCACAAAATGAGGGGTTCATAAGATTACCATTTTATGCAAGGCTTGGCACTACTAGCTCGGACACGACTTTTGAACTTGACCTCCGTATTAACTCGAGAGACATAATACTGTATCCACAATCCCCCATCCTCGATATCGACGCCTTTCCTATCCCGCAATAACTAAAACACGGCTCGCACCCCGCAAATACTAATAATACCCGCCGACTACAGTACTGGTGTGCTACTGCCCGGTGGTGGCGGCATGCACAGGCTCAAGAAAAAAACCCAACAGCATACTTCGGAGCCACCACTAGATCTTCAAAACCTCGGCATCATCAATCATAAGCACACGACTCCCTCCCGCCACAAAGAAAAACCCCTAGAAAAAAACTACATATCGACTTACCCATGCCCCTCCAACTCCCACCACATCCCCAAGTAACAGAAACCCCCCTTCCAGCCCAAAAAAGAAATCACCCCCATAGCCGAGGATGAAACCCTCCCCACATCTGGACTCCACCGGACCCCCCTCGAGCCCGGCCCCCCCCCCCGAGACCCCCGGCCCCATTATGCGATTTTCCCCTCTTTTTCCCCTCTTTTTCCCTTCTTTTTCCCTTCTTTTTCCCCTAACTTTGGGCTGTCTCTAGGCCATCAACTGCCAACGAGTTGAATCCATAACTAGTACGGAGTACATGCGCATTATGTATCATGCACATATGTAACCCCGCAAAAAGTCACCTGATGAACACCCGTCGATCCTCCCAGCCGTGGCGGAGTCGTGTTGGTGATTGATTGAAATAACAACGAGTCCCCTCGCTCTCCCCCCAGACCGATACCGTTTTCCCCGCCCGCGCGCGTGTGTTCCAGATCCTTGCGTCGCATCTCCCGCAACGACGACACGACGCTCGCCTCAACGTGGTTAATATGCCCCATCAATATAGCCTGTACCCGACGACGAGCGCCGTGGCGATGACGATGCCGGAGCCGTTGACACCGACGAGTATCTCGACGAGGCCGAGGTCGAGTACGAGCACGAGCGCGACCGCGAGCACGAGCGCGAGCGTGAGCTTGTCGAAGGGGAGTAAGAGGGGGGGTAAGGGTAGTAAGGGGAGTGGGGGGAGGTCGGCGGCGAGGAGGGATTGGATTGAGTACGAGTATCCAGCGCCGGAAGGGATATCTTTTGGGGGGAAAGGTACGTCTGTCTATCTGAGCTGAGCTATCCCGTCTCTCCCGTCCTGTCCCTTCTATTTGTTACCACAGCTGCCGCCTATACTGCAATTGGGTTGGTTTGGTATTGTCCATTCCGGCGCGGCGGCGACCAACCGTTCATAATCTCATAATACCAACCAGATATACCCCCCCACGTCAAACACAAGCACCACAACTGACACGCACAGCAGAACGCGTCCCCCCCGCCGTCGCAGTCCTCGCCCCCGCCTTCGCAGAAGATCCACTCCTCACATACCTCCTCAACTCGCTCGACCCCGTGGCTCGGCGCGCTTACCTCCCCGCATACTTCACCGCGCTCCTCACACAAGCGACGCTGAACGGGGCATACGTCCTCGAGCACTCCAGCTGGGAAAGCTGCATGACCGTCCTCCCTCCAGGAAGGAAGCTCGAGAACCCCTTCACGCTGCTACAATCGGGATTAGTGGGTGTATTGCGAAAAGTCGGATTATTGTGTGTCACGCGGATGCTGGGCGAATTCGAAGGCGCCGTGAATAAAGCGAGGAAGCACGGGCTGGCGAAGGGGGAGGTGCCGTATTATGTCTTCTTCATTGGGACGCGGGCGGATTGCCGCGGGAGGGGGTTAGGGGCGGAGTTACTGGCTGAGGTGACGAAGAGGGCGGGGCAGGAGGGGAGGAGTGTGTGGTTGGAGGCTACGACGGAGGAGCGTAGGCGGCTGTTTTTAAGAATGGGTTTTGTGGATGTGGAGGAGGTGGTTATGGGGAGGGGGAAGGTTGGGCCGAGGGGGTATGAGATGGTTGGGGGGCCAGGGGTGAGACTGTGGTGTATGGTTTGGAGGAAGGGGGATGTGGTGGTGAAGATTGGGGATGGGGAGGATGAGGAGGGGGAGGATGATTAGGGCGTTGGTTAGAGAGGGGTTACTGTTATAGGGGTTCGGAAGGCCGGCTGGCTGTAGGGTTTCGGTAGGGATGGGCGGGTCGGAATTTGGAATTCGGGACGACTTGGTGGTTTCGGGCGTGTCTTGGGTCTCTGTTCTTTGTGGCGGACGGGTCGGCGCTGCCCTTGGAACCAATCTTTTGTTGGCAAGTTCGGCTTGCTCTGTTGTTCTATTTTCGACACCTGGGGTAGGGTGTGGGAATGTGTTTTACGATAGCTGGTGGAGTCTTGCCATTCTTTTTCTTTTCTATTTGATACCACTAAGCTGTCAATGCTACAGCCTTTTTTATTCTATTATATAGCCAATGAAGCTATTAGTTATTTTATGAAGGTCTTTCTTGGGCTCAATTGATTCTGTGTTATTATCTCTGGATACATTTGAAATGACTTACCTGTCTCTAACACTTTTCATCCATCCCGAAGAATACAGCAAACCCGCCTCACGCCTCACGCCTTGTAAGCCTCACTCTCCTAATACCAGGGCAAGACAAACAAAAGTACCTCAATCGATATCCCCCCCCTAACCCCCCACCATCCTGCACTCCCATCACACCACATCAGGGTTAGCACAAATACTCAGGAGTACTAGGTCACGTGTAAACCACGTGATTTTAAAATTAAAGAGCTTTATTAGTATAAAGGGCAAAAACTCGATATACCCAGTAAACTGGTAAGAAAACTCCATCTACCCAGTCGGCCGATAACCCTCCTTTGGAAAGGTTAACAATCCAATGAGAGGCGTACTCTCATTTGAGAGTACATTCTCTCATATGGCCTTTTTGAAGCAATTGAGCTGGCAATATACCAGCTCAATTGCATGGTAAGTCAGGGGTCAATTGAGACCCCCAAACCTCCTCCCCCTTCCCTTCCTCCCCTCCACCACAGAACCCCGCTGACACCTCCCAGGCTCCCTCCCTCCTCCGACCCCCTCGAAACCCCCCTCGGAAAGCCCTCGCGCGAGGCACAAACTCCCCCGCCTCCCCCGCCCCTGCCTCCTACGATGGCCTCGCTAGCAGAACTCGCTGCCCCTGTCGACGGTAGCGAGTTCCTCGACTTGCACGCTTGGTCCCGTGCCCTGGACGACTGGGCCGTCAAGGAGAAGTTCTCCTGTTGGCTCCAGAGGAGGGACAAAGACGGGGCAACTGCCGCTTGTCCCGAGGAGGGCTGTGCCTGGCGTGTCCGAGCCAGCACCGACGACAAGCAATGGAAGCTCATCGTCGTTTGGGGCACACACTCTTGCGTGGGGAGGGGGCAGTGGAAGTTTGCCTCCTCCTCATATGAGAAACGGGGGAAGTTTCTAGATTGGGCTTGGGCGGGTCACGTGGGATGGAACTGGGTATATAGAATTTATTTATTGTTTTACTGGGTAACGTACATGTATAGCGAAAGCGCCAAACAAGCGAAAGCGCCAAAATTATCTACCCTCACGACAAACATTGCGATAAATCTACCACAACATTAGAAATCAATTGAAACTACTCGGAGTCCTCTTCCTCAGAGGTGTCTATTACAATCTGACACGTGCGCGCATTGTGCCCAGTCTCACCACACTTGCCACAGCGACGGGCACGGGTTTCTTCCCTTGGCTTCCGACCACGGCTTGCCCTTATTTCCTGCTCTACCTGCTGCACAACATCCCTCTCATCCTGTAGCTCTTGCGCCCCTTGTTGACTAAGTGATCCTCCTTGCTGTAGTCGTGTTTTCCTAGCTCTCCGGCGCTTGCTTAGTACTTCATTTGCCTGTCGTAGGTTTTGGTTCTCTCCCTTTAGCAGTGCTAATTGATGCATTATTTGCGATGCACCCTTTGTAAACTGGTCAACAGCTGCATAGATTGAGGTTGGAGAGCTATTTTGATGGCGTGAAATCCGAGTTTTAATAAATGTAGACTGTGACATAGCTTCAATTGGGTTGTTTGGTGTCTGAGAAACCCAAGGTTGAGCAGTACCTGGGCGGGAGCTTGGAGGCGTTGGTGTCCTTAACTTAAGATCAAGTGTAGATATCACTCTCTCAGGGTCAAATGGAAGAAGCCCTGCCCCTCGGAACCCGCCTCAAATGTTACTTTCCGTCATTGTAGTGTTAAATGCAGCGTGGAAGGCAGGAAAGAAGTCATCCTTTGTAATATGAGAAATATGAGCCTGCATCATATCTTCAATTTGCCGACCATAGGCCTGCTTTAACGGGCCGAAACAGCCAACATCAAGTGGCTGGAGTAGATGAGAAGAGTGAGCAGGCATACAAAGCGTAATAATGTTGTGTTCCTTGCAGTACTCCTCAAACTCATCTGAGTGGTGGCTCTCATGACCATCAAGGACTAACAAGCGATAACCACCAACACTCCGGGCCTTTGTATGCTTCTCAAAGTGCTGAATCCAATCCATGCCTCTCTCGTTTGTAGTCCAGCCATTTTCAGTAACAGAAATCACCCAATCGCTTGAAAATCCACTATTCTCATACCAAGATGTAAGGTGGTTTTTGCCTGCAACAATGATAAATGGTGGTACTGCCCAACCTTGAGAACTAACGCCTTGGATTACTGTAACCCATTCCCGATTACCAGGCTGTACCTTCTTTGCTTTTGCCCGCCCGTCTGAGCTTGTTACAACCATAGCAGTTGAGATAACGCCCATCATAAACCCAGTCTCATCAAAGTTGTAGATATCTGCTTCATCGATACCATATTTCACAATTGTGTTACGCACAAGCTCAAACCAGCCATTAATAACTTCTGGATCTTCGCACTTAGCCCTCTGGTAGTCGTATTTGCGCTGAAAGCGTGTCTGGAGCTCTACACGCCGCTTAACAAAGTTTGAAGCCCAACGCGACCCAACGCGTGACGCGTCGCGTGTTGCAAGTAGTCGACTTGCCATATCTTCAACAACAGACAGCCGAGGAGGAAACCCTTTGGCAGCTAGGTCGAGTATATACTGAACAAGGACGGACTCCTCTAGGTTAGTTAATTTCCGTGAGTTGGCTTGGATATCGCGTCGTGAAGGTACACCTTCTAGATGACGACCTAGCTTGCGGTGGTCCACAGAATAGATCCTAGCAGCAACTCGAAGGCGTAACTTTGGGTCGCTTTGCATAGCCTGGATAGCTAGCACTAATTGGCTTTCATCGTTTTTATGGGGCATGTTTTGTTGTTGAGGAATTTAACATTTAGTTGGGGGGTTTGGTCACCGCATCATTTTGGCGCTTTCGCTTGTTTGGCGCTTTCGCTATACATGTACGTTATATGGAGTTTTTGCCCTAAGTTAATAACATTGTTTTATACTTACGGAGGTATAGTCTGGAAGTTTTGTAGGTGGGGCCCCCCACTCGCAACACTTGGCAATTCGGTTGAAGTACCATACGTGTACATCGCGTCAAATTGAATTATATTTTAAAAAGTACAGTAGATAGCTAGGAAATAGAGTAGAAAATCTAGTACTGTGTAAACAGTCCATTTGCGTCAATTACTGCTTGCATACGTGTAGGCATACTGTCCATAAGCTCATTAAGCACTATAGGTGAAATAGACTCCCATGCTGCCTTCACAGCTACCCGGAGCCGGTCATAAGACATAACTTCAGGATAATTATTGTAAGGACACAGGGCACCCAGCTCACAGTAATAGCATATGAGAGTGCGAGTCGGAGGCTAAACGGATGCTATCCTATAGGTCTACTACGAAGGATACAAAAAAGATGAAGGGGGAACCCCGTTGAGTCTGTTTCCTTAAGTACCCGAAACGGGCCCGACTCGGTTATCCCAACCCTAGCCCTGAACCTTCCACCGCAACAGGTCTGCATCAGCCCTGAACCCTATACACTTACCGTCCCCCACTATAGTGTAACTCGCTATATGCTCCTCTACTGGTTCGAAACCCCACCAAGTCGGATTCCATGCTTGTAGTGACCGTAACAGTTCTGAGACAGGTTCTTCGAGTATCTAGGTACGGAGGCATCCTTACAATTATCCTGAAGATAGTTCTTCATATAGTGCCATACTCGCTCAATTGGATTAAGGCGTTAAAAGGATACAAACAATTGAACGCGTACCCATGCTCACACAATCTTAATAGTATGCCCCACCTACAAAACTTACGAACTATACCTCCGTAGAACTACTATAATCTCAGTCGCGAGGTATGCAGGCAACGCGCATGCACGGGCCTGCCGCCGCTTTCGACTTCTATAAAAGGGCCACTCCCTCCCCCCGACTCTGTCTCTCTCCACCGCCGCTCTTCCCTCACAACTGTAAGGATGCCTCCGTACCTAGATACTCGAAGAACCTGTCTCAGAACTGTTACGGTCACTACAAGCATGAAATCCGATTCGGTGTGGTTTTGAACCAGTAGAGGAGCACATAGCGAGTTACACTATAGTGGGGGATGGTAAGGGTGTAGGGTTCAGGGTCGATGCTGACCTGTTGCGGTGGAAGGATCAGGGCTAGGGTTGGAGTAACTGAGTCGGGCCCGTTTCGGGTACTCAAGGAAACAGACTCAACGGGGTTCCTCCTTCATCTTTTTTGTATCCTTCGTAGTAGACCTATGCTCTAGAAAGAGTCAAGCTTTAGCTAAAATGGCTCATTCTCGCGCTGTTGTCGCCCTTGCTGCTTGCTCCCGCTGCATGAAAGGCACAGTAAAGCATGAGTTTGCTTGCTGCGCTATAAACACTACTGCCCACCCTGATGGCCGCTGCACCAACTGTGCCCACTTTACGGGTACAGGGTCGTGCTCTTTCCTTGGCGCTGCTGGTTCTGGTGTCGCTGCTGGTCGTCCTCCTCCTGCTGCGCCCCGCCTTGTTGTCTCTGCGCCCCACCTCATCGTTTCTGCGCCCCGCCCTGTTGGTGGTGCCTTACCAGCGTGGGGCCCAGCGAGTTTAGAAGCGAAAGATGGGGGAAATTAGGAAGATGAGGGGGATGAGGGGGATTGGGGGGAGAAGGAGGTAGAGATAGTTGGAGCTAGTGGTGAGAGACAGGCAGTTTTGGGTCTCACTTATCGTGAGGCTGAGGATGAGTGGCTTTGGGCTGGGCGTCGCCGCCTCTTTGCTCGGGAGATTGCCCTAATCCTTCGGATTAGGCGTGATATTCTTGGCACTGATGCTGGCTCATTAGATGCCTTGGCTGAGGCCCTTCAGAGTTATGAGAGAGAGTCCCGTGTTGGGGATCCTGACCTCCTCAAACCCATCCTTCCTAATGGGGATGATGATTTATTCATCATTCCTCAGAGGTCGGCTCCTCATGCTTGTCAGAGTGTAGAGGAGGTAGGGAGGATCAGAGGTTGTTACGTAGAAGAAGTTTATAGTACTATAGTACTATTAAATGTCACAAACCTAGAGTGACGC